GAGCAAGAAGTGTCGCACTCAATGAGCAGCAGAACTATGTTGGGCTGATTCATCCAACCCGCTCCACTGTTTCGCCGCACCAAAGACCCAGCAAAGATGTCAGGCTCTCAACACAGACCTGGTGAATGTGTTGAATAGGCTCGAGCAGCAGTAGTATCGAAGAAAGCACTTCCAAGCATTGCAGCACACGCAGAGCCCACGCTGCAAGATAATAGGTAGACTTGGCATGCACCCTTTGAGTCCAAATGGCAAGATTGGAGCGAGAGCCGAATACGCTGAGTGGTGCCTGATAGTATGCCTCATTGCCTGTCTTCTCCCTCTGTCTTGCTCGCCTCGGTGTGCGATCTCTTCAATTTAACAGAGGTGGTGATGGATGTGCGACAAACCAAGAAGCGCCTGCTCACGCATGCAAGGGCTTGATTTTTCCTCGACTCAAGACTTGCACTCGACAATTTTGACTCATCAGGTTGTTTGAGTCGACATCTTGACTCACACACACTCACGACTCGTGACGACTGCATGCACGGCAAGCTGCAACGAGGACGCGTGAGGCGCCGCGCCGCGCCAATCACGAATGTCTAATGAGCTCGGCGACGAAGCTGTCATCGTTCAAATCAACTTGAAGCTCACATTTACACAATCACACAATTGTGAACTATGGTTGCCTCGCACAACGATCGAGTTCCGGGACATTTCAAGTTTCAAAGTCAAGTTTTGCGTATCATCGGCTACAGTCTTGAGGGCGGAAAGCTGCTGGTCTTTTGAGCGCTCGAGCCCCTGAGCTCTGTCGCGCAGGCACACCGCGCATAAGCAAGCATGTACATGTAGAGCACAATTAACCTGCAAGATGAACACCATCATCCCTGTTCATGCGCGAATGCTCGCAAACGCATCAAGAGAAGGCGCGCAATTCGTGATTGCATTTGATTGCCAGCGTTTAGATGAAGAATGCAAGGATGGGAACTGACGTCAATAAGTTCGCAAGGCGGAACGTGAGATGGAGAAGGGGGAAAAGGGAGGAAATTTGCGATAGTAGGTAAAGGTAGCTGTTGTGTTTCGCCCTTGGCTCCGCTAGTCCCTCGTCCCCATTCGCTTCAATTCGTCATCCGCTTCCGATTGGGTGTCC